GTAATAATCCTTTCCCACCCTTTTGGGACACAAATGTTACAATTTCATTTGAATGACTAACATAGTAAACGAGGTGGCAAATGTGTTCCAGGTTAGTAGTTCCTGAAGAATGAACTATGGACTGATGATTTCCCTCAGCTCACCAGAGTTCATGTAGTGAGTTAGCAAATTACCTATTAACAGTATCTTTTTTGTACTTTGTCAGACATATCTAATCAGAAATATATGATAATTGTGTTATCTTGATAATATACAAGAGCAGAGGAAAAATGTCTTCAAAATTACTTAAAAAGCATTCTTTTCTGCTGAAGAAATGTTGGCCTGCACTTTAAAAGTAGAGATTCCAACTCATAAACTGCCAAGAATCTGATTAGGTGAAAATGGAACCTGCGTGACATTAGTGGGACTCTAGAGTCTGTGTTTATGAACTGTTTGAAGAGAAGACAATCCAAGTTAAATATACAGCACTTTAAATACAGTTCAGTCCTTTCTGTCCCCAAACATGCATTAACACTGGGCAGAATTTTGCCTGGATGAAAAAGCACATTAAAAAACCTGTTTTGTGATCTTTGGCACAAAGCAATCTTAAATGCTACACATCCTAGAAATTACTTAGAATATCTTACTTATGCTTTTCATCTTCCTGTGAAAAAAGTGATTACAAAAGCTCCCCCCCCCAACCAATCCTTTTATATTCTCTAATATATCAAGCTGACAATAATGTAAATAGATTAATAATACTTCAGGATTTAAAGAACTAAAGATTTCTTGATCAAGAAAAGAACTGCTTTTCTTTGTATTCAGCTATTATATTAAAAGAAAAGAAAAAACAACAACACAAGAATCCTTGATTGTTGAAGTAATCCCCTGGAAACAGAATTTAATTACATTTACAGGATAAAAGGTTGCCTAGGACAGTAAATCTATAAGAGACATTGTACACTTGAGCATTGTTGGTGGGAATGTAAAATGGTGCAGCCTCTGTGGAAAAGTTTGGCAGTTCCTGAGAAAGTTACACAGAGTAACCATTCACCCAGCAATCCCACCCTAGGTTCATACTGTTTATCCAAGAGAAAGAAAAATATATGTACACACAAAAATGTGTACACAGCCCTAGCTGGTTTGGCTCAGTGGATAGAGCATCGGCCTATAGACTGAAGAGTCCCGGGTTTGATTTTGGTCAAGGGCACATGCCAGGAGTTGCGGGCTCAATATTCAGTGGGGAGTATGCAGGAGGCAGCCAATCAATGAGTCTCTCTCATCATTGATGTTTCTCTCTCTCTTTCCCTCTCCCTTCCTCTCTGAAGTCAATAAAAATCTATTTAACAAAACAAAAACAAAAAAATGTGTACACAAATGTTCATAGAACTATTTACAATAATCAACAGGTGGAAACAACCCAAATGCCCATCAATTGATGAATGGGTAAACATAATGTGATGTCCTTGCAATGAAATATTATTCAGCCATACCGGTTTGGCTCAATGGATAGAGCATCAGCCTGCGGACTGAAAGGTCCCAGGTTCGATTCCGGTCAAGGGCATGTACCTTGGTTGCGGGCACATCCCCAGTGGGGGGTGTGCAAGAGGCAGCTGATGGATGACTCTCTCATCGATGTTTCTAATTTTCTATCTCTCTCCCTTCCTCTTGTAAAAAATCAATAAATTATATTTTTAAAAAATAGTTCTTTCTGTGCTTTGTTTTGTTTTTATTGATGAGAGATAAGGAAGAGCCCTAGGACTTTAAATAAAATTACTGTATTATTGCACCAAAAGGTTGCTGGTTCAATTCTTGATGTTTTTCTATCATCCATGTTTCTCTCTCTCTCTCTCTTTAAAATCAATAAAACATATATATATATACCTAATATGCAACCTGACTGAACAGTGGAATGATCAGTCGCTATGATGCTCACTGACCACCAGGGGGCAGATACTCAATGCAAGAGTTGCCCCTAGCCCACAGGCCCCAGGTCAGCCAAGGTGGGTGCCAGCACTCCCCCACCCTCACCCCCAGATCCCCACAGGTCAGCCCTGATCACTGGCCAGGCCTAGGGACCCTACCCATGCCCAAATTTCATGCACCAGACCTCTAGTATATATAAGTTTAAATCCTCACTTGAGGATGTTTTTTCCATTGCTTTTCAGAGAGAGTAGCAGGGAGGGATGGAAGGAGGGAGGAAGAGAGGAGAGGGAGAGAGAGAAACCTATGTAAAAGAGATACACTGACTGGTTGCCTTCCACATGCGCCCTGACTGGGGAGGGGCGAACCTGCAACTGAGGTACATGTCCTTGACAAGGAATCAAACCCAAGACCCTCCTTGGGCAGCTGATGCTCTAACCATTGAGAACACCAGCCAAGGCAATAAAAACATATTAAAAAAAAAAAAAAACCGGACTGAAGGGTCTCAGGTTCAAGTCCAGTCAAGAGTACAATCTTGGCCGAGACTGGTTTGGCTCAGTGGATAGAGCGTCGGCTTGGGGACTGAAGGGTCGGGTTCGATTCCGGTCAAGGGCATGTACCTTGGTTGCGGGCACATCCCCAGTAGGGGGTGTGCAAGAGGCAGCTGATCGATGACTCTCTCATCGATGTTTCTAACTCTCTATCTCTCTCCCTTCCTCTCTGTACAAAATCAATAAAATATATTAAAAAAAAAAAAAAAAAAAAAAAAAAAGAGTACAATCTTGGTTGTAGGCTTGATCCCTGGCCCCACGGAGGCGGCCAATTGATGTCTCTCTCACATCGATGTTTCTCTCGATCTCTCCCCATTCCTTCCATTCTCTCTCTCTCTCTCTCTCTCTCTAAAAAAAAAAAAAAAATCAATGGAAAAAATATCCTTGGGTGAGGATTAACAACAAGAAAAAATTACTGTATTATTAAAATTGGCTTTTAAAGAATCTGACTAGAGGGTGAAAGAAGTAACACTTTCCCTTGAAAAACACTTAATGGACATCAGAGAAATACTCTGCACCTTTAAATCCTGTTGCACCTTTCACTTTTCTAAAAAGATCTAATTGGAAATATGACTGGCTATCATTAAAGAAGAGTGGAAACTGTACACATGCCAGCTTCACTTTTCAAATGAGAGTTTGGACTTGGGTCAAGTTCTAAGCTATTTCTTCTGTCGTCAGCTAATCCAAAGAGGTTGTGCAGTTTCAATTGGATATTTTTAGGTGTGTTTAACACAGCTGTCTACTCTCCATAGTGTCTGGAAGGCACCGAAGTTAATGCCTTTTATCTAAACTTCTTGACTGATGTCTGGTAATCTGGTTACTAGCCTCCAGTTCCCAGATCTTAGGTATGTCGATCACTTAACCTCTCTGGGCCTAAATTTCCTCACCCGTTAAAGGAGGAGGTTGCTCAAAGTCACTAATTATCCGAGAGATGCAAATCAAAACAATAATGCAGTACCATCTCACACCTGTCAGAACGGCCAACATCAACAAATCAACAAACGACAAGTGTTGGCGAGGTTGCAGAGAAAAAGGAACCCTCGTGCACTGCTGGTGGGAAAGCAGACTGGTGCAACCACTGTGTAAAACAGTGTGGAGTTTCCTCAAAAAACTGAAAATGGAACTCCCATTTGACCCAGTAATCCCACTCCTAGGAATATATCCAAAAACTAGAAACACCAATCAGAAAGGATATATGCACCCCTATGTTCATAGCAGCACAATCTACAATAGCCAGAATTTGGAAACAGCCTAGGTGCCCATCAGCAGATGATTGGATCAAAAAACTATGGTACATCTATGCAATGGAATACTATGCTGCCATAAAAAAGAAGGAATTCTCATCATTTGCAGCAACCTGGATGGAATTGGAGAACATCATGCTGAGTGAAATAAGCCAATCAATGAAAGAGAAACACCACATGACCTCACTCATTTATGGATAATAAAGAACATTATAAACTCATGAACCAAAAGATAGATATAGAGACAGAAAGCAACAAGCAGACTGTCAAATCACAGCAGGTAGGGTAGGGAGATCTGGGGGAGATAATAGATCAACCGAAGGACTTGTATACATGCATATAAGTACAACCAATGGACATAAAACTCTGGGGAAGGAGGGTATGTATGGGAGGGGGGCAATGTTAAAATATGTACACAGATAATAATTTAATAAAAAAAATTAAAAAGGAGGAGGTTGAACAAAATGAGATTTTAAGTTTGACACAGTGAATCTGTTGAAAGAAAAATATTACATAAGTGAATAACAGCAGAGGTGCTATACAGATATGGTGAAAACCATGACCTTGGTTAATGAAATGACAGAGATTAAAGGATAACAGTGTGCTAGGGCAAGGGCACCTGATCTTTTCCTCAGAAAAACCTTTACATAAAATTTTACATAGCCAAAACTGGTTTGGCTCAGTGGATAGAGCAATATCCTGCGGACTGAAAGGTCCCAGATTCGATTCCGGTCAAGGGCATGTATCTTGGTTGTGGGCACATTCCCAGTAGGGGATGTGCCAGAGGCAGCTGATCGATGATTCTCTCTCATCGATGTTTCTAACTCTCTATCCCTCTCTGTAAAAAATCAATAAAATATATCTTTAAAAACATTTTTTTTTTTTTTTTTTTTTACATAGAAGCTTAATGGAGATGAGACAAAATGCTGCTCTGGTCAAAGTCAGATGCCTTCCCATTTGACTGCCTTTACTTCCTGCTACCATACACACACAGACTTCCATGAGCAGAGTTTGAAATCCACTAACCTAGATGTTCAAGGTTCTTTCTATGTCAAAAATCTTTAATTCCCTCTTCCAAAGGACATCTAAGATATTTCACAAAGGGCTCTTCAGAATTGTTAAGCTCTATGCTTTTATAAAGAAAAAAGAAGTACTCTGCTATAACGTTATGCACTCTCACAGTCCCTCAGTCTGAAGTGAAAACCAAATGGAGGATTTGCCTAAGCAAGCAGTGGTCTGAAGGGGGTTAACCACACCACACACACAGACACGCAAGATGGCGGACGATGGCGCCTGCATTCACCTAGGACAAGGAGGCTGAAGAAAATGGTCATGCCACTCGACTGTTCCTCCTGCTGAGCCTGCTCCCCCGTCTGCACGGGGAGGATGGGCTTGGCAGGGGTCGGGAGCACCAGTTTTGTAGTGACAACCAGGCTAGTGTGGAGGGTGACATTGAAAGCTTCGTGAGTTGTGTTGGGGAACCTGTTGGAGGACACAAAAGGCAGAATTAGATCAAGGAACAAGGGCTCTGAAGTTTCCACACACAGAGCCAGAGGAACCTTGGCACAGAGCTCTACAGGAGTCATAAGTCTTGCAACCACCAGGCAGGCCTTAAGAGAGAAACGGATGACAAACTGTGCAGCCTGCTGCCACCGGATGGTACCAGTGCCCTCAGGTGCTTCTGAACGCTGCCAGTTAGAGGACGTTCACGGCCTGCGTGGACACGGCGTGCCACCCGCTCTCTGGCCATAATAGGGGATTTAATCAGAGGCACACTGGAATCTCATCACTTTTAAACAGTATTTACTTGGTGCCTTTATTTCTCGTTTACATTCTTTTCCTTGGATTATATCCGCGACTTGAAGAAGCCACCTGAATTTGCGCAACTGGTGATCTGGTTGGAATGCCCTACCCTACTTCATAAGATCCTTCTCAGATTTCAAAAGGCTCAGTGTAATCCCCTCTGTCATTCCCCGCTCCAGGCCACCCCTTATGTTCCCCACAGCTCTCTCCTCACATGCGGGGATTGTACACTAGTGCACTACTGATACAATAGTCATTGCAATTGTGATTATAACAGCTAATGTGTACTGAGGCCTGCTTCATTCCACGGGCTAGGTGATATACAACCTCTCATTTAATAGGCATAACATGTCTGAGGTGGATACTTTTTTTTTTTCTTCTTTTTTTTTTTTTGAGGTGGCTACTCTTACTTTCCCTTTTATACCCATGAACAGAGACTCAGAGAGGCTGCATAATTTGGACAATGCCTCAGTCAGTCAGTGGCAGAACTGAGCTTTGAGACAAACATGATATCATTGGCAGAACTGAGCTTTGAGACAAACATGATATCATTGGTTCATGCCACCTCTTTTGCTTTGTGCAGCTGAGGCACAGTTGAGTGTCTGGGACAGGGCGGAGTCTTAACAAATAAGGTGACTAAATGAAATGACCATCGACCAAGAGACAGTGAGGAAGCCAAATTTCAAATTCACGGGGGTCCCTGTGGGTTTTTACATACTCATTCCACACACATAGACAGGGCATCTCTACCATGCAATACACTGTGCCCAGCAGGCATGGCGATGGACGAAGAGTGGACCCTCCCCAGACAACACCTGGAGGACAGGAACCCCGGCGGCCCCCGTTTCATCTTGTATGGCCAGCCCCCTTGCTCTCCGGCCTGCCTTTCTGTCCCCCAAAGGCACTAAAGCCTGTCTCGCCTCTGGACTCTTGCACTCGCCGTCCCCTCTCCTATCCCTCCTCCTGACACTGGCACTTCTTCCTGAGCAGACTCCCCCACCCTAACACTATTCCACTTCCTTCAGAACCCTGACATCGGCTTGTCTATTTATGGTCTTTCGCTACAAGAAAGGAAGTTCCCAGAGGGAGGCTTCTGGTTTGCCTCCTTCACTACCATGTGCGCAGGGCCTCAAACACAGAGATGGCCGCCAGTGAATGAATGAATGAAAAATGGAGACAGGTGCAGAAAATGATCTCCACGGTGGAGGAGGCGACTGGCTAACTAGGGGGCAAAAGGGGGACTTCCTGGAGAGGACGGAGCGCTCCGTAATCATCAGTCGACCGGAACATCGGGAAAGGGAAGTTTGGGTTGCGGGTGCCGCTAGACGGCTTTCGAGGCCAGCACAGGGCGGCCTGATCCGCAGCCTGAGGTTCGGACCTCCAGGGGCCGAGTTGGGCCCAGGCCCGTCCCTCCCGCCCTCCTCGCAGGGGCCGGCAAGATCCGTCCTGGCCAACCAGCACAAGGAGTTCCTCCTTCCGGGGACGGGAGGCGGCCCGAGGCGCTAGCTGTCACCCGCCGGAGCCCAGCCCTGTCGCCTCCGCCGCCCCGGAAAAGCCCACTCACTCCTCCTCCGCCATCTTCGGCCCCATCCTGCGGAGCCTCCAAGACCACCGAGTTCGGAGCCGCGGGGCTAGCAGGGCCCGCCCTTGCTTCCGGCTTCCGCTGAGGGCGCGGGCCGGCGGAGAGCCGGGGGCGGGGCCTCGGCTGCGCCAGGGCGGCCCCTCTGTCCCTCTGTCTCTATAGCCCTGGGGGTGGGAGGTGGCCAATGGCAGAACAGTCCCTGGGGCTTCCAGGATTTCCTGACCTTCTGGCCGGAAGGTTTTGGTTTTTCCCCACCACTGGGAGGGGACGTTTTGAGGGAAGCTCCTGTGAGGTCAATGTCAGTTACTCTAGCTGAATGCTGGGAAGGAAGCTTCTAGCCTCGGCTGGACGGAGGGACCCCAGGGGCACACTTCCCCAGCCTGAGCCTCAGCTTTCCAGCTGCAAAGAGGACCAGCCACCTGGCTTTGCGGAACTGTGCAGCATTCTATCTGTAAACATTTGAGTTCTGACTATAGGCCTATCATTAAAATAGGTGATGATGATCTAAGGATGAATCATTGATTAATTTGATCACTGACGCCTGTATGTGCCCAGCAGTAGTCTGTGAGGTTGGAGATATAGGAAGGAACAAGGTGAGCTTGGAGGAATAAGAGGGACCCTATCAGGAGGGCTAGACTATGTTGTAAGGCTTTAATATATTTTATTATTATTAATTTCAGAGAGGAAGGGAGAGAGAAAAACAATGATGAGAGAGAATCATTGATTGGCTTCCTCCTATATGTCCCAAGAGATTGAGCCTGCAACCCAGGCATGTGCCCTTGACTGGAATCAAACCCAGACCCGTAAGTCCACAGATTTGAAGCTCTATCCACGGAGACAAACCAGCTAGGGCTTGTAAGGCTTTTGGATTTGACACCCCCTCTGCTGCTACCTTCTTCCTGGTCCAAGCCATCTTATCTCAACATCTGCAAAGCTGCCTAAATCTTCTCTCTGACCTGGCCCTTATTCCCAGGATCTTCCACACAGTGGCCCCAGTGACCTTTTAAAACTCTGGTCACTCCTCTGCTCAAAACCTCCACCGGCTTCCAATTTTTATCAGAGAAAAAAAACTTGGCATACTTACAGGACTCGCTCAACCTTGCCCCTTTCCCTCCTCTGAGGTGGGTTCCCTCCTCCCCTTAAGCACACTTTCCACTATGGTCACAGTGGCTATCTCAGTGTGCCTGAACTATACAGGGAACACTGCCACCTCTGCACTGGCTGATCTTTTTGTCTAGAATGCAGTCACAGGCTGCATAATGGCATTTTGGCCAACAACAGACAGACTTCACATGTGAGGGTTGTCGGCTGGGTGTGCAGTAGGCTATATAGCATCTAAGTTTGAGTTAGTGTACTCTATGATGCTTGTACAATGATGAAATCGCCTAAAGATGCATTTCTTAGAACGCATCACAGTCATTAAGGGGCACATGGCTGTACTCCTTTGCCCCTTGGTTTTTATCTTTTCCACTTATGGGCTTTTTGTTTAATTTGTACCTTGTCCCTTCTCTCTTCCCTGACCATCCTGTTTAAAAATCCAAGGCCCCTCGCCTTCCTTGAGTTATTTTTCTCCAGAACACCAAAAATATTGTTTTATTTGTTTATAAGTGGCTTGGTGCATGAAATTTGTGCACTGAGGGAGGTGGAGAGCTGAGCCCAGCCTGCACACTCTACAATCTGGGACCCTTTGAGGGATGTCTGACTGCTGGTTTTGGCCTGATCCCTTTGTGTGGGATCAGGCCTAAACTGGCAGTTGGACATCCCTCTCACTATCTGGGACTTCTCGCTCCCAACCACTTGCCTGTCTGCTTGCCTGATTGCCCCTAACCACTTCTGCCTTTCAGCCTGATCACTCCTTAACCACTCCCCTGCCAGCCTGATTGACATTTAACTGCTCCTCTACCAGCCCAATTACCCCCAACTGCCCTCCCCTGAAGGCCTGGTCCCCCCATCTGCCCTCCCCTGCTGTCCTGGTCACCCCTAACAGCCTTTCCTTGCAGGCCTGCTCACCCCCAACTGCCCTCCCCTGCTGGCCAACTTGTGGTGGCCATCTTTGACTAATGGGGGCAGCCATCTTGTGCAAGGGTATGAGGGTCAATTTGCATATTACCTCTTTATTATATAGGATTGTCCTTCTTTTATGAGCATCTAGACTTCCAGAATTCAGATTTTTATCTGTTTTGTTTTCTGCTTTATTTCCAGTGCCTAGAACAGTACCTGGCACATAGTAGGTACTCAATAATAAATTATTACTGAATAAATAAAGACATTAGTTAACTCTGCATGTGTTAGAAAACAGAAGGGTTTCAAAAAGAGGAGGGCTACCACCTGACTTTTATTAGGACCCCTGTGACTATAGAGAATTGGGTAGGGTGGGGAGTGTATGGGGGTGGGGGAGAGAAGGATGGAAGCCCTCAGATCTGCTGGGAGGCCTTTGCAATAATCTGGGCTAGAGCTGGTCGTAGTTTGGATTGAGGTGATACCATAGAGATAGTAGGAATGATTGGATTCTGGGTGCATACTGAAGGTAAGATTTGCTGATGAGCCCTGACCAGTTTGGCTCAGTGGATAGAGCGTCAGCCTGCAGACTGAAGAGTCCCGGGTTCGATTCCAGTCAAGGGCATGTACCTTGGTTGCAGGCACATCCCCAGTGGGGGATGTGCAGGAGGCAGCTGAGCGATGTTTCTCTCTCAATGTTTCTAACTCTCTATCCCTCTCCCTTCCTCTCTGTAAAAAAAAATAATAATAATAAAAATAAAAATTACTGCATGTAAAAGAAAGAAGTCGAGGATGACAGAACTTTTGGCCTTGGGCAGAGGGCCAAACCCAGAGCCTGCTGCCACTCCAAGACTTTTTAGGACTGTTGTTAAAGCTTACCGAGAAGGTGTTTAGGATTAGCCAAGGTTTATTGAGTCCTTCCTTGTGGGTGTGGTGCCAAGCTATTGTTTCCTTAATTCCTTATACTCCTTTGAGGCAGATACTATCATAATCCGAAAACTAAAGAAGTCAACCATTTGCCTGAAGTCACGCAGCTAGCTGGCAAATGCTGAGGCTGTGATTCTGGCAGAGTCTGTGCTTATAACTGGTACTCCTTGTTGCTCTCCAGTACTTTAATTTCTCTGGTCCTTCATGGGGCTCTTCTCCCTATCACAGACAGAGCTGGCGAAAATGCACTGGCCCTTAGGGACCGAGAGCTAGGTTCTCTCTGAGCCACATTTACTGACTGAGAGCTTGGAGTAGTTATTTTCCTTCCAGCCCCAGAAAAACCCAGCTGAAGTTGAGGCCCCCTCTTCCCCACGGGCGGGAGTAGACTCCTTGCATCAGACTGAAGGCTGTGGGTCAGTCAGGATGAAAGCAGGGCCCTGACTTCATTGATGGATGCCCCATTTTATCTGCTATGTTACCCACTGCCCTTGCCACGGATCCTGTTATCAGGTCTAGTTCCGGGCTTTGTGGCAATCATGCACCTGCTGCCAAGCAGGAAGCGAAAGAACATCTGCGAGCAGGCCTATGGGCAAATCCCAGATCTTGTGACCTATTCCTGGGAAGGAATCTAAAGTCCCCAGGAAGGCAAACAAAGCCATTTGACATGCAGTTCCTGGGCTCCTGTGCCCTGTTAGGCCAAAAAGGGGGTGGCACAGGACATGGCAGGCTTTGGTGCCAGGCAGTTCTGCCTGTCTGCCCCAACTCGGTACCCATAGGGTCTGTGATCCTGGGACCCCTTCAGCACCTGCAGAACCTCAAGGCCCCGTTACTGTGCCATAAGCCTTTAGAAGGCCGTTACAGGATTAGAGAGAAAGCTCTGCCTTTGTTTTCTGTCCTCTCTGCCCTCCACCTCCAAGCTTGTCATTCAGATCTCAGTTTAATTGTCACCTTCTCAGGAGACCCTCCCTGACCACTCAGTCTAAAGCAGGGATTGGCAGATTTTTTTCTATAAAAAGCCAGACAGTACACGATTTTAGTATGATCTCCATTACAACAAGTCCACTCTGCTGTTATAGTGGGAATGATTTCATAGATGATTTAAATAAGCATGACTGTGTTCCAATAAAACTTTATGGGTATTAAAATTTGAATTTCTTATTATTTTGACATGTTATGAAATATTTTTTTTAAATATATTTTTATTTATTTCAGAGAGGAAGGAAGAGGGAGAGAGAGATAGAAACATCAATGATGAGAGAGAATCATTGATCAGCTGCCTCCTGCATGCCCCCACTGAGGATCAAGCTGGTAACTTGGGCATGTGCCCAGACTGGGAATCAACCATGAACTCCTAGTTCATAGGTTGACACTCAACCACAAAGCCACACCAGCCAAGCATGAAATACTGTTTTGATTTTTTCCCAAATTTAAAAAGATGGAAACCAGGGTCCATCTTATCCAGGGTCCATATGAAAGCAGATGGCCGGCTGGATTGGCCCACCATGGGCAGCTGATCCTGTTACGCCCAGACTTCATGATCCCAAGGACCACCAGGGAGCCAAGTCCGATGCAGTAAACAAAAGAGCCTCTTCCATGCTAGCATGGGCTCTGTCCCACTCACGCTGGCAGCATGGCGGAAAAGAGAGAATTTCGCCTAGTCCTGGGGTTTTACTCCGGTGGTGATGTCACTGCTTTGGCTGACCCTGATTGGGCTAGGGTCAGTTAATGGAGGATAACTCCGCCCTGCCCCACAGTAGAGTCAGGAGTTTTATCCTCGCCCTGCCCTGCCCTCTCAATCCTTAGCCTAGTCTTAAAAGAAGTGTTTCTGCCTGGTCAGTGTGGTTCAGTGGTTGAGCACTGAATCAAGAGCTCACTGGTTCGATTCCTGTTCAGGGCCCATGGCCGGGTTGCAGACCTGATCCCCAGAAGGGGGCGTGCAGAGGCAGCTTCTCAATAATGCTGTTTCTCAATGACGTTTCTATCTCTCTATGTTTCTCCCTTCCCTTCTCTCTAAAAATCAATAAGAACATATAAAAGTAAATGTTTCTGAGGTACTTATCATTATCAGACTCCCCCATCCCTC